TTGGCAAACTAGGAATATTTGACAAAAATTCTTGCTCTCTGATCAAAACTAAACCCTACTTGCACGCTGGAAAAGTGTGGACATACATGAACAAAGAAGAGAGAGGCTGACAATGTTGCAAGCATTCTGCAAATGGTCTACTATCTACACTAGTCAAAGACTACTCTTAAAATGCTGGTCCTATTCTAACTGCATTGAAGGGAAGTGGATGAGGTTGAAAAAGAGATGTATAGATCCAGGAGGCAAGTTTTCAAAACAGTTGGTGCAAACTTGATTAAACTTCAGTGACAAAACCTTTTGTGGAAGAGTGAATGTACAAACTGGGAATGAAGAATCATTATCATGAGTAGCAACCCTTCTAGGATCTCTGTCAGCTACCAGAACCAAATTCTGATATTGCTAAGGGTGCTGCAACAGGCTAATATTCTAATACTTAGGATGCAAGAACTACTAAAAGGAGAAAATAGTATTTGCCTTTCTGATTTCAGTTGGCTGTGAGAGGAAAGAAGGAGGAGAGGAAAGAAATGTCAAGTAAACTTTTAAGGATAATAGCATACCATCTAATCCAAGTGTGTCCAACCTGCTGGTTTTATTAAAACATAAAAATGAGGGCAATAAAATCATAAGGAGTATTAAAAGTAGTTTGTTACTTAAAGGCATAAACCACAGTATGTATTTTATATGTGACCTAAGACAATACTTCACACAATATGGCCCAGCCAAGCCAAGATGTTGGATGCTCATAATTCTAAACAAAGGATTACCAATTAAAAGCCATTCTGTTTTCTGGAGAACAGATTTTTTTCTCCTCTAAGCTGTGGCATGCTTCAGGGGTTGGCATGCATACTTCAGGAATCTTGAAGATCATTTTGTCCTTAAATCTTTCTATTTCGTCTTAGAATATGACATATTAAGTCTGACCCTTAATTAACTGTTCCTTGGGTGGAGAGAGCATCTTAACATGCTTCGGGTGTGATGTTGCAATAAGTATTAGAACTCCAGATGAGGAACTTGTAATTGTTTTGTTTGTTGCAACACATGGATTTCTTCCATGGAATTCCATTTGGGACACACCAGCTTCCATGACTGTGTTAAAGCTTTCTCCTGAAAATACCTCATGCCTTTACAAAGAAGTTATGTAAGTTCCTGACGCTATCAGACATCAAATCTGGAGGCTGTTAGATACCTTAGTGTTTTTCAATGCTTCACATAGTTCTAAACAAGTAACTACAGTCTAACGTAGAAACATATTTAGTTTCTCTTTGAGCTAGATTGCCAATGAGTTAACATCTACTATTTGCATTTTGGGGTTGGGGTGAAGAGTGTTGTTGTTTTTTTTTTTTTTGTGTGTTTCCTTTTTTTTCAAATAGCTCAGCATTGAATAGACTACGGGTATGCCCTAGAATAGGCCATAGAAAACACATTAGAAAGAAAACACCTGGCAGTATCTACCTTGGTGTGTGCACAATCAATTCAGAAAGTAAAAAACAGAGCAACAGGAATACAAAATATATGAAAGGCATCCCCTGTTCAGTCAATCTGAAGTAGTTTGGCTGCAAGAGAACATCTATTTAGCTATTATATAAAAAGCGTAGTTACCCTTATGTAAAAGTAAGACAATGAAAGATGAAATTAAGAATAGGAAACTTTAAAAGAATTATCATTTGTGTTATAACAGTCCAAATTTGAATGTTATCCCTTTTATATAACTTAATAGATTACTTGTCCTTCATTATTCACTGCGTTATGTGTTGCAGGTTAAAACTAAATATGTGGATTTGATTTACTTCATTTTATTTTTAATGTATTACTTCAGAATGAATTATTATACTTCGAGATATATTCCTCAGATTGTTTTGGTCCACAACAATGAATTTGAATTACTCGGTTGAAATTAACACCAGAAGTTTCAAAACATTTTTCTTTTTTCTTTCATTCCATTTTCAATGAAAATGGAACACAGCTGCCATTTTGTATTTCTTTCCATATTTTTTTGCAAGTACATTTTGTAAATAGCAACCGAAGTATTCATAGCTGGTTAAAAATGTAAAGCAAAAATGACGAAGTTATGACAATACTAGGAAACAAAACATAAAGTAACTGTACATGTGTTAATTAGAACTGTAATGAATCAGATAAAGCAGAAACACTGCAAATCAGATAAAGCAGAAACACTGCAAATTATAATAGCAACTGGGAAAGAATAATGGAACTTATCTCAAAGTCTTTTCTGCAAATCCTATCCTGGTTGTGATACAAATGTGTGTGTGGGGAGAGGGAACAAACCATAAGCCCTCAGTGCTCAAAGCTTGTTTAAGGGGTGGTGCTAAGCTTGATATGTCCTTTTTGTAATTTTTTTCCCTATCTTTAAACTTCCTAGTTGGGTTAATTTAAATAAAAATTATGCTCATGTACATGCTGGTGTAGTCTTACGATTGCAATCAAGTATGTTCCGTGCAGTGGAGCAGAAAACATGAAACTCATTTACACTTCCTTATAAACTCAGTGCTCCCTCAGGAAGAGGAAGGGAATGACTGAGCTTTCCTACACCTGGATGGTTGTAGGATCTCATATTGAAAGAAAGTAAAGTTTTTAATTATTTATATATAGTTTTATACTGCCATTTCAACGGTGTTATCTTCTTTTTTCAATGCTCTGATTAATTAAAGTTCTCAACTTTAGGTAAAGCCAACATGTTTCATATTCAGACTCCACTATACTCTTTAACCTCTCTGTAGTCCTTTTTTCCAGGACTCTTACTAAAGAGAGCTTATTTGAAATCTCATGGGATCCTATTGATACACCTTTTCTTAATTATATGAGCAAATAATTTCATATTGTGTACATAGTGTAACTGTTTTCTTCTTATTCTTCGAGCATCATGTACTGCTGTTTAGCCCAGCTGCAGCAGATCAACTTTCTTGAGTAATAACAGTATTGCCATTAATCTGGGCTGAGGACTTTCATACAAGCCACTTATTTTCTCTGGGTGACTGTGGTTTTCTGCATGTGATCTTTGTCCGAGTTGTGCACGCAAACCAGTTTCTCAGGCATGGTTTTAGAACACAAGTGCCACTCATTAGTTCAGTTAAGTCATCTAGACAACACTGAATAGTTCTTGGCAATGGAGTTGTTTCTGTGAACGCAAACATTCCTGGACTGATTGTTACCCTCCCCTCAATTGCACCTGTCTTAGTGCAAGTGCCAAGAAAAACTATCTGAATATAAAGTAAAGAGAGAAACACCTTGACAGGTGTTTCTGAGGGAGTGGAGAACTTGAAGATAGCAAATCATTATGTGTGGTGATTTCTCTGTAAAAACAGATTAACACTTTCTGAAATATCAAGTGCAGCGAATGTTTGGTAGTGACTTTCTAAGAAGAAATCAGTTGATCTAAGAAGAGATCAATGCAGATCACAGTACATAGGCTGTTGGTAAGAGGCT